AAACGAGCATCGGGAGTTTTAAACGAGCCTAAGGGACATTTATTGTGTCTGATAACCTTAGATTTTTGGCAGCTTACACAGAAGCGTGCCCACTCCCTCACGTCTTTATTCATTCCACGCCAGCAAAACCTTTCTGCTATAAGCTTGATGGTTGCACGAACACCTGGATGAGAAAGTTTGTGCAATGTGTTGAAGACATTGCGTCGATAATGTTTCGGCACGATTGGGTGATCCCTACCTGTAGATGTGTCACAAAGTAAGGTTTCCTTACCTGTTCTCATCTGTTTGATGCGTAGTTTAAGTGTTGTGGACGATAACTCGTGCTGAAGATCATTGTCTTCTTTTTGAAGCTCGGCGAGTTTAAGAAGGTCGATTCCTCGGAAACTGTTCAAGGAAGTTATACGAGATAAAGCGTCTGCAACTACATTGTTTGCTCCAGAGATGTGTTGAATATCTGAAGTAAACTGCGAAATGTAGTCCAGTTGTCGAGACTCACGGGGAGAGTACTTGTCAGAAGGAGAGCTTAACGAGAAAGTGAGCGGTTTATGGTCCGTGAAAAGAGTGAATTCACGACCTTCGATGTAGTGTTGGAAGTGCCGTACAGCACAATACATAGCTAGGAGTTCCCTACCGAATGTGCTGTACCTCGATTCGGTGTCTAGCAACCTTCTAGAGAAAAATGCCAAGGGTTGCCAGGAGTTGTTAACCCATTGTTGTAAGACTCCTCCGATTGCTGAGTCGGATGCGTCTACTGCGATGCTAATGGGTGCTCGGGTGTCCTGATGTGCGAGCATTGTTGCTTTAGCAATCAGTTCCTTAACTGTGGAGAATGCTTTTCTTGCGGTGTCGTCCAAATTAATGGATTTCGCATTTCCACGAAGTTGGTCGGTCAGAGGTTTCATAAGTAATGCGCATTTCGGTATGAAACGTCTATAGAAACTTACCAGGCCGTTAAACGTGCGTAATTGCTTGACGATGGTCGGTTCTGGGTAATCCAGAATGACCGCCACTTTGGTCCTAAGAGGTCGAATGCCTTGAGCATCGATAGTGTGGCCTAGGAAGTCTAAAGAGTCGGTTCCGAATTGGCATTTCTGAACGTTTACAGTTATGCCATGTTTTTGAAGTCGTTCGAAAACAAGATCCAGATGCTTGAGATGTGTTTCTCTGTCCGGACTTGCGTGTACGAAGTTGAGACCTCGAAAAACGTCGTCTATGAATCTTTGGAATGTTTGAGCAGCATTCCTTAGACCGAAAGGCATTCGCAAAAATTCATAGAGTCCGAAGGGAGTTATGATAGCCGTTTTCGGTATGTCGTCAGTAGCCATAGGGATTTGGTTATACGCTTTAACCAAATCGATTTTCGAAAAGACAGTTGTACCTTTCAAGGTAGCTGTCAAATCGTGAATGTGAGGCAACGGGTAACGATCGGGAATGGTTTTCGTGTTCAATCGCCGATAGTCACCAGTTGGACGCCGATCGTTGCTGTCCTTTTTAGGGACCATGTGCAACGGAGATGCATATGGGCTACTTGACGGTCGTATGACTCCTAAGTCCATCATGTGATCGAATTCGTTTTTCGCTAACCTTAGCTTTTCAGGAGCTAGTCGGCGTGTTTTAGAAAATACAGGTGGTCCTGTAGTCGTGATGTGATGTGTAACATTGCTGGTTACACACGGTAGTTTCGTTTGAGTTTGTTGTATCCCAGGGTACTTATCGAGTAGTGGTTGATAGAGTGGGTCTATCATATGTTTAATTTTGACTGTGGATACTCTGCAACCAGTAAAAGAAGTTACGCAAACGGACAAATTGGTGTTTCCGTCTACTAGCCTCCGTTTGCGAGTGTCGATGATCAGATTGTGGTATTGTAGAAGGTCCATACCAATGATTGGCATAGAAAAATCTGCAACAACGAAAATCCAGTGGATGGGTTTGCGCAAACCCACGTTAAGGTAAACGTACCTTTTGCCATACGTAGCGATCGGTTTTCCGTTTGCCGCCTGTAAGTTTAGGGTCGATTCGTGTAGTCGATCGTTAGGATTTGCTGGGAGAACGCTAACTTCTGCGCCAGTGTCGACGAGGTAGCGAACTCTCGTTGTCACATCTGTGACGAATAACAGACGGCTTTGTTCGCCGGCTACGGTTGCCGTTAACGCGTGCCGGCTTGGAAGTTTCCCGAATTGTTTTTCGAATCAGTCGGTTTCGTGTTGGGAAAATTGCAGGGTTTTCTGCAATTTCTGGAAAACTTTCCATACTGTTTATGATACCAACACCAGTCGGGGTTATCTGTCTCTCGTGGTCTAGAGACAGATCGCTTACGAGAAATGCTTCTACGTGGTGTGCGCGATCTCTTACGGTCGGTACGAAGACTAAGATAACGCGTGAGTGTGTGACATAAGTCGTTTATATCATTCTGAGTCGTTTGAGGTTTTTCTTTGACTGAAAATACCTCAGTAGTAGATTTCGTAATTTCTAAAATGCGGTCGGCAGATGCAGCTAGCTCGTCTAAGGCGTTGTTCTGGAACGAGACCAGAACTGCTTGCACCTGTTGGGGAAGTTTTGACAAGAAGAGTTGTTTGAATAGACCTTCGTCGAAAGTTCTTGGGCCTATTACCTCTCTCATCCGTTGCAACATGTCTGTCGCAGAACCGTGTTGCAGGTCGATATTGTTGAAGAGTTGATTTAACCTTTGTCGATCGGTTAGGTCTCCTCGTTTAAAAATCGAGCGTTTTAAGATTTCGTAAGGATCGGAAACATCACTAGTAAACATACTAGGTGTTACGTACCTGTTGAATTCGCGCGGTAGTGCCTTGACTACTGCGAGGAATTGTGCACGCGTGTCGATCACGCCGTGCTCGGAGAAGTCGGCTTCTGCGTAGCAAAACCAGGCTTCGATGTTGTCGGGCCAGAAAGGCATCAGTTGAAACGAAGGCGGGGACAAAGTCTTAAGCTTGAGTACTTTAGGTGTCTGTTCAGTCATGATGAAGTATGAAGTACGATAATGAACGAGGGGGAAATATATATATCCAGGAACAAAAAACGAAAAAAAAATCACAATGTTTAAAAAAATAATAAAAATAAGGCAATGATATATAAAAATCCCAAAAAGGAACAGACTCACAGTTGCAATTAAGTGTACCAGATCACGTCGGTTTCACCAATGATGATGTCACAGGTATTCAGTGTTTGACAACACTTTCTACCAGTAACACCTTCTAATATATTTCGTTCCCACCCAGAGAAATCAAAAGACAGAGTCGAGGAGATCGGAAGAGTGTATTTGGCGATGACCAATATATCGGAATTCTCTGATCTAATCTGGCTAGCGATTGCGGTTGATGTTGAGCACGGCGTTACCACACGTGATCTGGTGCGGATGCCTGACCGAGCGCCTTCAGCTAGGTGAGTCCACTAAAACATATGGTCAGCATCCAATGTCGAAAACTTAGTGCTATTTATTTTGGGGATTTATTTACCGCTACAATGTACTTAGAAATTTATACTTAAAAAGTACTGCATCCCAAATCCCTTGGACTATACCGAGGGGGCCAAAAAACTCACAATCATTGTTCATTAAGAAGTTCCGCATCATCTCCGTAAGAGAAGAAAAATGTGGGATAGATCCATGTCACTGAAGACTGATGGGACGAAATCTGAGGATCGAAAAGTTTAGAATAGCTGTGCCTCGACTCTCTGTAAATCTAGAAGGCTATAATAGGAGAAAATTTTCAAAGAACCCATGAAATATCCCAAACGCCAGTACTCCTATATAAACCAAAGGACAAAAAGAAGAGGAAATATTCCTGCACTATGGGGAGAAAGTGCTGCCGCACCATTAATGGTGGACGACTTTTGGTAAGACTTGTGTTCTCAAACTACTTTAGCAATGTATATTCCATAGAAGCACCTTTCCCATCAGCGCATACAGATTCCTCCACACATACACAGGATAGCGTGACCATTAAAGAACTCGATGTCTTTGGTCTTAGGTAAATCCACGAGGCCCGATGAATTAAATCCTAGGCTATTGAAGGAATTATCTAACTTCGTTGCAAGCCTTATAAGTACATGCTTTAACCTATCCGTTACGCAGGGTCGCTTACCAGAAGACTGGAAAAACACCATAGTAAGTCCTGTCTTCAAAATAGGTACGAAACACAAACCTGAGAATTACCGCCCCGTTAGCCTAACTAGTGTGGTTGTTAAAATCTTAGAAAAAATTATTTGGAAGGTGCTGTTTAAGTAGCTCGATGAAAACTGGATCCATTCAGAGAAGCAGCATCGTTTAAGAATAGGTCGTTTCTGCCTCATTGACTTATTAGTGGTTCGTGAAATTTGGTGCGCTCTTAAAGATCAAAACATCAAAACTGTGTAAAACAACGAATTTAATAATTTGGTTGAAGGTCTACAGGTGCCAACTTCATGTTACTGCAAATTGTCTATAAATTCACAAGTGCATGTCAAACAACTACATTAGCAGAACAAAAAGCAGATCATATCATGAATTACGGAACATGTGCTAAAGAACTTAAATAGGATAGGAATACTTCGAATGGCCTAACCCCTAGTAACGCTTTGACAAAGCACACCTGGCCGACGTCCTGAGATCGTTCATGGTGATCCCCGACCTCTCGAAGTTCTTGAAGCCATTGCATTCAGGTGTCAGAAAGCTGACATGTTTAGGAGCTAGTTGTTAATCCAGACGGTTCTCCGACTATTCTGGATAAGTAATTTCATCCTGACCTTTAGTCGTTTTAATCGTATGTTCCGCTCCTAGGTTTTAGGTCATTTCTGTAATCAAGTTCATCGGACGTTTAGTATTATTCCATCCGGTCACCGAAATATATCTACACCTTTGTAATACGGTACTGAGATATTCTCAAAGCAAGTTACAATCAAACTCCTTTTTGTGATTTAGACTAATTTTGTGATTATGATTCTTACATACTACAGGTAGTAAGCAGCCGTCAGAAAATAACTAAATAAAATGAATTCATGTCATTCTACTTAAACTTATGTTAATTTTTTATTCAAGATGACTAACGGTAACTTCGCGTATGGACACATTTCAGCAAGGTCGCATCGAATACAACATGATTTTTACGACAAAAAGAATGTTGGTCCGCATAAAATTAATTTTACTAACAAAGCATTATTATCATTAATCATATAACACCATAAATTAACTTTATTTTCCTTATGAATTTATTTATACATATTTCTCTAGAAAATGAGGTGGAAAAACCAGATAAGAAAGCAAAAAACACCAGGAAAGCAGTAAATCAACCAAAACAAATTACCGGTATGATCAAAATATAAAAAAGAACCAAAGGAACTCTATAAAATGCCATTAATTGAGGTGGTTTATAGTACAATAAGCGTTATACCAAAAAAATTGGAAAGGGGAACAAATTACATGGTTTAAAAAACGATAATGGTTTATGATTTGGACCAGGTAGGTATAGGAAACTGTCGAACACGAACACTCGATTCATCCTGTCGATCGACGGGATGAAGATATATATTTAATGTGGAAAATATTTGACGATTGAGTACTGAGAAACGACTTAAACGAGCCGCCATTCGTTCCAGAGACTAAATGGTAAAAAAATGAGAGGGAAACTATTAATTTAAAATAAATAAAATAACTTTAACATCCACTGATGAACTCTAGTATGCTGAGTCACCAAGTAACAGTACTCATAGAGGTAATTCGAAAAACAACAGAGAATTTTTAGAAGCTTGGCACTCAGGTCAATCAGCAATCAACAAACACATTGAAATCGATTCAATTTATCAATCAATCACGAGAACTATGCATAAGTATAGGAACAAAAACCAAACCAATGGGAGATACATTCAAAACAAAGTAGACTATGAGTTGTTTAAGGTCAACATGAACCAATCAACATCGAGGTCTACAGGACGAGCTATAAACTACATGTGGAGAAATTCGAACACTTCACTTGTACCTGAAGTCTGTGCTGATGATGTCATTCAGAAAAACGATGAGCTCACAGAACAAAACTCCATCAAGCATTCAAAGCTCTTTACTAAAATTGAAATCGATTCAATCTAAATTTACCCTCTGTAAATTACTTAGTAATTAAACTATCAAAACAGTGGAACAATCTACCAGAGTAACAATTAAAATGTCCAATTAAAATGGACAGATATAATAACATATTCATAGATATAACTTATTATTTAAATAGTAATAAAACGTACAACTCCCATTGGTGTTGCATCTTTTTTATCGATTCGTTGTAGTCGTAAAATAAGACTACCAAAATCAAGTGCTTCAAATTGACGTTGTTGACCTAATAATAAAATGATTGCACATCCAGCCCAATTTAATCCTTCACCAAACATTTCTTCAACTGTATATTCATTTTGCCCAAATGGTGTACAGAATACTAATTGAATAGCAGACCATAGACGATGAAAGTGTGTATAACTTTCTAAGCCGAGTATATCATTATTATAATGTGTAGTAGTTCCATTACATATAGAACTACGTTTGGTAATATTGGAAAGACGATCCCAAGTATTTCCATCAGAATCTTCTTCATGAAGAAAGTTTTTAATTTTATTAAGGACCTATTCATGAGAAGTAGAAAATGAAAAAAAAAAATCAGGAGAAATTAAAACAATAAAAAATATCAATTTTTAATTATGAATTCGCAATCTATAGAGAAATCGAAGTAAGGCAGACAACTACTGTCATTGAAGTAACTACTTCTATGCATTTGGTGTTCATCTTGTTGTGCTAATGAGGTATGGCAACTTGGACTGTTGCATATGTGTGATCCTACGTTGTAGCTGGCTGAGACAACTACTGTACTTCCGTATAATTATTGCATCTGGTATACATAAATTTTTAGCAATCCTATAAACATCTCAAATATGTAACTGTTTTACACAAGTCCTAATTAATTATTAAGTAGCCCGAGGGACGAAGCAACTACGTACACTATAGATTTCGGTAAACCATGCTTTTATGTTCTATATTACACATCCATCCATTGAAATATGTTTTATAAATTGAAGCATTCAATGATAAACAATTCATTATACAGCCAGGAATTATGTATGAAAATCATCTCTGTTGTTACGATTAGAAGAATCATAACTTACAAATTCGAATAGTGTTAAACCAGAACAAAGTCTCTCTTTCGTTAATATTTCATTCTCTTTAGCTAAGGACAATTGCTGTGTGAATAGAAGAAAAGAGAGAGAGAGTTTATAATTAAAAGGAGTAAATTCAACATGAAAATAACTCAAGCTTCAACTTGTTAAGTTGAATTACCCGTGAAACTGGTTGACACGATATCGAATCCGTCAGGGATTACGGTAACCTTCCTAATGAGTGCCGTAAAGCACAAAACCTACGTCCAGGATTTCCTGACAACTACTATTTCGACCAGTAGATCATGTGTTTAAATTCATTTCTTGTCATCTTTGTCTTTTTGACACTAAAAATTGTGTAGTTGTGTGTTTTATGGAGTTTTGTCTAGTTTGTAGATGGTTTTTATCACGGGCTAATACCTGTCGAAGAATCACTGAAATAGAGGTATCTGTTTTATTTTAGGTTTGGACTTCTTCAGTGGTGCTCAAGAGTGGCTCCATGGGAAATTGCACTCCTAACATCCAGGTTTTGCGGCAACCACACTTAATTACGTACACATTTATGCCTTACCCCTCCTTGAGGAGCACAGGCCACTCGCTCACTAACATTCTCCATCCAACTCTGCCATGGACAATTCATTACAGTTCTTTCTAGTCGCCATTCATCTTTTTTCATGTCTGCTTCCAGTTTCCGACGCAGTATGTTCTTTAACCTGCCTCTTTTCCGTTTCCCTTCACGATTTCAAGTTAGCGCTTTTCTCGTGATGCAGCTTGACGATTTTCTCAATGTATGTCCTATCCACTTCCATTGTCTTTTCCTAATTTCCCCTTCAGCTGGAAGCTGGTTTGTTCTTTACCACAGTAGGCTGTTGCTGATGGTATCCGGACAAAAAAACATTGAGTATCTTCAGTAGATAATTGTATATAAATACTTGTAAGTTCTTGATTACGGTTGTGATAGTTCTACAAGTCTCAGCTCCGTACAGTAGAACTGTCTCGACGTTCGTATTGAAGATTCTGACTTTGATATTGGTTGACAGTTGTTATGGGTTCCGTATGTTCTTTGACTGTGGGAATGCTCCTCTTACTTTGCCGATTCTTGCCTTTACGTCCTCACCAAATCCTTCTTGTTCATCGACGATGCTTCCCAGGTACGTGAAAGACTCTACTTGTTCTAGAGCTTCCTTATCTAATGCGACCGGGTTAGTGTTCTCCGTGTTGTATTTGAGGATCTTGCTTTTCCCTTGTGTATGTAGAGTCCTACTGATGCAGAGGCTGCTGCTACATTGTTTGTCTTGACTTGCATTTATTCGTGTCTTTGTAATAGAAGAACTACGACGTCTGAAAAGTCCTGGTACTGATTGCAGTGTGATGTCTCTATTGTCATTAATGATGGGTACACAACATTGGATAACAATCATTGTGATTCCCTTCTTCTTTATTTTGAAGGATGATTTGATTATTCTAGGTTCATGAGATTTTCATCCTATAAGTTCTTAACATGCTTCTTTGTAAAGTATTAGAGCAACTCCCCGAGTGTGTAGAGAATTTTCCTGTTCGTGACCAGAGTAAAGCAGCACGTCTCCCGAATCTATCCCTTTCAGTCCAGCTTGTGTCCAATGGGTTTCGTTTATTTCGAGAACCGTCAAATTGTATCTTCTCGTTTCTGTTCCCATTTGACTGGTCCTCCCGGTCTCCTACATTGTGTGAACATTCCATATACCTATAAAAATTGTTATTCCGGTTGCAAGAAGAGGCATCTCGCGTTTCACCCTATTAGACAAATTAGTTTATTTACTATATAATGGAAGAAAAATGTATAGTTTTTTGTTATCAGAATGAAACATTTTAAGTGGAATATATGTGACAGCATGGAGTTTAATGAAGAAATAATAGTAATACCGGTTACCCACTAAATAGGAGGCATTTAAAAAGAAAAATCTTGAGATATATATATACGACTTGTTTCACTTTCCTTTGTAGATTGAGTTAGTACCTCACCTTTGTTCCATACTTTGTCCGTTTTCACTGTATTTCTATGCTGATATAAAATTGGACAATTTAAATTGATACATATTAGTAGATAGACCTTAAGATGATGACTGATTATTTCAAGATGTCATCTATCTCAAATTGACTTATAAATTAATCTAGTTATTATTATTTATTTTAACACATAGATATTGGTACAAGGAGGCACCAAATAGATATGCGCCACATAAATCATCCGATTTGTGTGAGGGCTGTGATACTGCACGGGTGTCCAAACCGAAGTAGGTGGTTTTCTTAGCCCCCCCCCCGAGCTTTTGTCCTTAAGATTTGACCCACAAGGCAGTGGAGCATCGTAAGGAGATGCAGTCCCATGGTAGCCGGTGACCAACGATTGGTTCATACGCTATTTGTTCCTGCAGGATACTAGAGCCCATGTGCACCATTGGTTTGGAATCCGGTTAAAGCGCCGGACATTCGCTTTTCGTTCTCTCATTTTTGTAAACAACACCCCCGTCACGAGAAGGCAGTGGGTAGAACTTCCCTGGCAGAGGCTGCATATGTGTGGCCGTGTGACAGCACTTCTAGAGAGAGGGAGGGCCCACCCCACTCTCGGTCATACTAGGGCATTAATCTAGTATAATACTTTACAGGTTAGTTCGCACAATTAAATCAATATAAACAATGAAACGATTAAGAAAATGAACAAAAAGGAAATAGTATTTAAAGAAATATATAATACAAGATTAGAGAATGATAAATATATATAGATCACGTAGATTTGTATATAAGATTTTATTAACTTACATCTTCAGTACCAATACGTGATACAACTAATACAATATTCATTGATTCTTGTTTCTTTTGTAATTCTTTGTATTGAATTTCACGTTCACGTCTTAATTCATTAATTGATTTACCTTTTAATCCTTCTATAATGAGTAATAGAGAATAGAAAAGGAACAATATCAGTAACAATAAGTGAACTAGCTGTACATTACATATATCTCTTTATTATTATTATTATTATTATTATAATATAGAAACAATTTTGGTATAGCAGAATATCAAGAAATGCACCATACACACAAGTCAGGATTTGTCCAATTCTTCAGATGTATCCTTTGTACTTGTCAAACAGTAATCATATGAAGGAAGTAAAACTTCTTTGGAAAATAATATTACATATGTCTATATATTCTGTATTCCTATTCGAGTCCTCATCAATATACAAAGGGTATGTATCAACAACAACAACAAAAAAAACAGTCCAATGAAACCATCGAAAATATCAACACCATGAAAAAAGAAATGGGATTTCACAGGTTTCTGTTAGCGGGACATAGACTAGATTAAAGCATGCTCAATGCATGATTGTTTTGGTGCACGCTGATTGGCTGATTATTATCCAATCAGCACTAGTCGATAGTCGGAGAATACTCTGGAATCTTCTTATGTAAAAACTATAAATATACCGACGTTTTCCCCTATTGTGCTTCCTACTGGCTTCTGATTTGCTATTTGGAATATAATCTTTTCCTGTTCAACCGTGTTCTGATTTGGGGACTTGTCGAGTGAATCGGTGTCCGAGAATACTAAGCAATAGGAATAGCTGGGTCATTAACCGTAAAAAAAAGAGATTATAACAGTTTCTTTCTTTCTTCCATGACATACTTCATAATGTTGATATCTGTTATTAGTGTTGTTGTTGTTTTGTTTTTTTCAGAATTCATGTTAAGTTTTCGATTATTGTTTGTTGTTTTTTTTGTTGACTAAAAACAAATAAGGATGATTGATTGATATAGGAAATTGTTCATTGAACTTTTAATTAAAGTTTAAATAATTTTTTAAAAAAATCAATAGAAAAAAAAGAAAAAAAATTAATTAAATGATACATTTTTCAATTGCATAGTAACTAGTGACTAAAATCAATCAATGTTTATAAAACTCTACACCATTGAATCAAGAATTTTTTCTAACTCACTAACGAAGTTTATTTAAACACATAAACATTCGTACAAGGAGGTATCAAATAAATATACACCATATAAATCATTCGATTTATATGAGGGCTGAGATCCTGCCCGCGTGCTCAAACCGCGGCATGGGGTTATCTTAGGGGATCATACTCGATGCCTTTGACTTACAGATCTAATCCACAAGACAGTAGAGCAACGTTGGGAGATGCGGTCCCACAGTAATCGGTGACCAACAACAGGCTTATACGTCATCTGTTCCTTCAGGATACTGGAGCCCATGTGCACCAATGGTTTGGAATCAGGGTTTTACAACTCCGCTAAGTGGACTCTCCGTGTCCAGTAATCCGGTTAAAGTGCCGAACATTCGCTTTTCGTCCTCTCAAATTTTGTAAACAACACCAGTGGTGCGAGAAAGCAGTGAATAGGACTTCCCTGTTGGTGGTTGTATGCACGCGGCCATGTAAGAGTATCACGATAGGGAGAGCTGACTCTCCCCACTCTCAGCCGTATCACGGCATTTGGGGGCCACTAACAAGATAACTCTACAAAATCGATTGTATACAATTTAGGTGACAAATGTTCAGTTTCGCTTCTGTTTTTTTTCATTGAGTAAAAAGCATTTTGAACAAATACAGGGAATGTCTAAAATTTCTTGAGTTGCTAAGTAATAAACTACTTTTTAAAGCTGATAAAGAAATCTAATTAATGAGTAAAGTAAGCAATGATTAAATAACTTGAAATAAATAGAGTATTGAATATTAGAGAGAAAATCCTTTTGGGGAGTTCGGTATTGTGTTTGTTTTTCCCTAAGTAATTTGGTTTCATGATAAGATGAAAAAATAATGATCATTTTAAATTTTGGAAATAAACGGAAATGTTATATTTGAATATCAGAAGGGTTTTTGTGGATATTATAGTAATTTCAATGGTTGAGATCATGAGTCGATTGGAGCTAGATCACCATGAGAAAACTTGGAAGCACTGAACAGTCGTTTCGTCCTACTGTGAGACTCCTCAGCAGTGCGCATCCACGACCCCACCTCGCGACCGCTTAACCACTAAGCAGGCTGGCATCCAACGGTGTTCATGTCTAACTCCAACCAATCCACGAAATTGAGCGAGACACCGTGGATGCGCATTGCTGAGGAGTTCTACAACGGTCGTTCAATGCTTCCAGGTTTTTCATGGTGGTCTAGCTTCAAATGACTCATGATCACAACCATTGAGATATTTGAATATACCAAAAACAACGACAATAGAGAAATAGTATGAATTTATATAATTATGATAAGTTTAAATTTTAGGAAGTCTTACCATTTATCCTATAGCCCTAAAAACATAATTATGTTTATTAGGAAAACATTGTCAATTTTTTTAGATAGATAAATTGAGAACGAAATAAAAACTTGATATTTATATACTTAAATATAAGAATTATAAACAACTTACCCTCATGAGATGGAATAGGAGGAAAGAACTGTCTTGGCATTTGTCCAATAAAAGGCCCTGCATGACGAAGATCACATGAATCTTCAATTGACTAGAATGTAAAATAGCTCAGAATAGTAAGAACAGAAAATTAATTATTACTTAAACAAACAAACAGAAAGATTGATTAAGGAGGTCTCCTTTGATAACCATTCAGTAGTATTCATCATAGGAGAAGCAGGTTCAACCTTGCAGATTTTCTGTCATATACATATAATGTATATCGGTAAACTTTACAAGGCAGTTAATCATATTTCATTAGAGCGATACAATGAGAAGACAAAGATTATCAGAATTATGTTTCGAACAATCTGATTACACTTATACTTCTTAAGACATTATGTATGAAAAATAAAAGAAGTCAACTAGACAAGAAAGAATGTATACAGAAACAAAATTAATAAAAAGTACACAGTTTCAAACTCACCACTTTGGTAATAAATTAAAGTAGACTAAGACTAAGGACGAAATGTTTCTGAACACAAAAGCGAATCCAGTTTTTCCATAGACAAGACTTCAATAGACCTTAGTATACGACGCTGAAAACTCTTTTTATAACACTAGAGAGGCTGACTTAATATCGACCCTATGACCCGTCTCAACCGAACATTTCACGAATGCGGAAGATCATCGGAGTTCATTTGTTTCCTTAGCTATTTTGGTATGTGTTCAACCACTTACCTGCAGATCACGATTACTCCTCTCTATATGTACGTTAATGAACATCAAAGGGACTAATTTTCATATTTCATTAGTCTTTATTTTACAAAAACGAGTCATCATTCATCACCCCAGCGAAACAGATGAGTTCAGTTTTTACCTTACAAACAGTCAGAGTAGTACTGCTGTATAGCATTTTTATGGCATGTCTTCATCTACCTCTTCTTTTTCTATAAAATCTTAAAATTGTGTTTAAGATTTTCACTTGTTCATATTAACTAAAGACCGATAATTTTAACAACATCCTAGTATATGTTCTGACGATTTTTTTTACTCTGTTTATCGCAACCTCCACCGGCGAATTTTCTCTACATGCGGAGAAATTCGAACACTTAACTTCTACCTGGAGTTTGTGCTGATAATGTAGTTCAGAAGAACGATGAAAGCTTCACGACCAAACCATCCAGCTCAGAGAACAAAAGCCCATCAAAATCATCCACCTGAGCTACCAATCTTCTATTTCACATGGTATTGAAAAATTCACGTAATCAGCTGAGAGGAGTTATTTTCTTCAACCGGGTAGCTAGGTTCAGTCGAAGAGATCAACAAGATTATTTTAACGACCAATCAGTTCTAACCAGCTGGATAAAAACGTGAGGAATAAATTTATACCAATCGTATTCACTTTAAAAAAGCAACATAATTCTCTAATATTTTATAATATCAGGAATAAATTCAGACCATACTTATTATCAGTAATAAATTATCTACCAGGTTAAATTTGCGTACTTGACCTAGAAACAAATCGAAAGTGTGACGGGGTTCGAACTTGTAATTTAGTGACTAAAAGCCGGACACCTTAACTATTGAGCCACTATTTTAATACTGAGTCAAATCGCAATTGGATATTTACATTTTACAAGAGTGAAGTCAAACCCCTCCTCATATAATTGACTTTAATTTTAGTTATCATTAGTTATCATTAGCTATTCAAATCACTTGTAGCTAGATCATTTTGCTTGATAATCATAAATCGGACAGGGAATACTAACAATCAGTGTGTTCGTAGCACTTCATAAAAGTGAAGTTTATTTTCATTTCTTTGAAAATTTACACTGATTATTTGGAAAAAAAACTTACTAAATTCTTTTCTAACTGTAAGCAACAGATAAGAATATTTCCAAATTCACGAAAATTTTGAAATACATTAGTTCGTAAATCTGTATATTTATAGATTTGATGTAATTGAGTGTATAAAGCCGAGAATACAGCATCAGATTCAGCTTTCTCTGATGGAAGTATCAATGATTGAGGCATAAGAAGCACTAATCGGCAAACATAATCGCGTAATGTTTGATTTAGCTAATATGATGGAGGAAAAAAAAACATTTTAAGAAATTTTGATGAATTTTCATAATAAATTTACAATGATATAAGTCGGAATAACTTCCAACAATGAATATAGGAAGAAATCACTAGATGATTAGGGGACTAGCCGACAAAAAGGTTATAATACTGTATGCAATTGAGTATGACAGATTGATGAAATATAACATAAAACGGCGTTTATTATTTTGTAGTAACCGGAGAACTAGTTTGACTGATATGATTTCAAAAATCTTACTTTCAATACTCATTCCGAAATTAACTGGAGATGGCGAACAGCAAACTTGAGAAAACGAGTTGAGCTTTGGACAATCAATTAAATGTTCACTAATCGATAGATTCTGTTCCTGTAACATATACGCATTCACTAACATCTGAATGTACCCATATTTTTTGGTCTGAAGATTATCTTCGTCCATCGAACATTTTGATGGGAATCTCTGTTACTGAAGTTCGTGACAAATAATTATATAAACCTAAGAAAGGATTTTTGTTCAATAATAATGGATTTTGCAAGAGTTGAAGAAGGAGCACAAAGAATGCATCTGTACTTCCGTGGACTCCAACCAAGAAGTTCATATATCTAAAAACAACTCAAACTAGTATTGAATAACCTCGTGAGATGATTTTACATCTTGACCTGAGAGTTTTTAATCTACTCATAAACTATTATTAAAACAAGCATGCAGCACTTCTAAATAGATCCCTCAGTCATTTTTATCAAGTTTTACAGCCACTTGAGTCAGTCAACTAACTTCGTCAATTTACTCTATATATAGCACCAAAAATCCTCACCCAATTGTTTCAATAAACACAAACAATGCTTTGAAGACACCAATGATAAAACACTAACGACCTTACGAGAAAGGCACTGTAAATACGTGGATCCTTTTGAAGAACAAGTAGATTGGTTGCGCAGACTATTCATATCATCCGAATTCAAGTCGATAACAGTAATATGACAGCGAAAGAATAAAATCTAACACTCATATTTTAATTTCCCTAGCATTTAAACGATCTATGAAATCTGTATATCTTAATCACATTTGGTGTATAATTGTGTTTAGTTTTGCGTTCTATATTTTGTTTACAAGTATGTTATTTCATTAGACATTTATCCCATCACGCATGTCTTGTTTTTTTTTATATCAGCTTAATTGACGGCTCAAATCATGAGCTCGGTCTCTGGTATATCATCTATTCATCGCATTCTATTCATTTATGCCAACAATAAAAAAACTACTGGTGTATAACAAATGGAGGCAAATAGTCAGCTATTCAGAACAAGATAAACGACAAACTTCATTATGAAACAAAAATGTTGTATAAAAAATGAGACTGATGTTACTTTTCACAGTCAGTCAAGCGACACATGAATATTCCGAAGACATATAACTAATAAAAATAACTTTATACACCAATAAAGTAATACACAAAAAGAAATTTGACTCGGTAGACCGCCGATAAGTATGCCTGTGTTCTAAAATCTGACGAATGGTGAATATGTGGTCGATGAAGCCACGACCATGTCTGAAGCCAGCTTGAGTCTCTCGTGTTTGCAGTTCACGAGTCTTAGTTAGGCGTCTGATAATTATCGAGGCTAGTATTTTAGATACTATATTAGTTAAACTAATCCCTCTGTCGTTGTCACAAGATTATTTTGACCCTTTCTTATATATTGGGACGATAAGTGATTGTGACCAGTCAGATGGAATAACATCTAACTCCCAGATCTTAGCTAAAATATTAGTCAACCTAATCGCTAAAATTGGACCACCATCCTTAAAGACCTCTGGAGCCGGTCCAGATGGACTGGGCTGAACACCGACTACCACGACGTGCAATGCTATCCGGTATTGGAGATGGTTGGAAGAAAGTTAGGGGCGGCCAAACCAAAACGTGGCATCAGTGCTTGAAGACACTAACTTCTAGTCTGAGCCATGTTGGTAGATGCAGACTACTTGGTTGGGGTCCGCGTGACTTTCGTAACCAATGGTTGGAGATTCATGGTGACATGGCTCAGAATCGATCACAATGGCGTCGGTGCATACTGTCTATCTTCCCTTAAACTAAGAGATTAAAATTGCTTCATATCTCTCTTTCTACGAGCTAATTCTTTCTTCTTGTACTATATCCTTATTACAATCTTTCTTTTGTATATTACCACCTGAATTAACTACTTTTATGAATCCGGTGTCCATCTTGATGTGTTAATGAGGTATGGCAACTTGGACCGATGCATATATGTGCCTGGTCCTACGTTGTAGCTGACTGACTGACTGACTGACAAAAAGAAATCACTATTCAAAATAAGGAATCAAGTCAAACAAATTAAACGTACCAATGATTGAGCAACTTTCATTACTTCTGCTGTAACAACAAACAGACCTCGATAACCCAATAAACGACAAATGGCAGAAAAGTGAGGTGCACCAACAAAACCACGATATAATTTAAATATAGTTTCAAAGCATGTATTTAACGAACGACTACCCCAAACGTATTGAGCCTCAACTGTTGGCGGTTTTTCACGTTCTAACACTTCAGTTAATGTGAAATTTGTTGGTACAAATCTATTTGAAGATTTTAAAAATTTAAATAATTACTTGGCTTTTAACAATATTATATGTAGAATAAATCAGAGTGATAAACATATATATACTGGTCGATATGCCTTTTATACTTGTCTTTCGGTTGACTCCGGATTTTTCGCTTACTTACATAAAGCGTCTAGATTTATCTACTCTACGGAATGATCTACGCATTCGCTTATTGCATGAAGTTTATTAAAGCGACTGTTTTTTTTGTCACAACTTCACTATTGATATACTTTAACTTAACAAATCAATTTGTAGGGAGTAAACTGGCCCCCAAATGCCCTGGTACGGCTGAGAGTGGGGAGAGTCAGCTCTCCCTCTCCGAATGTCCTCACATGGCCACGTGCATACAACCACCAGCACGGAAGTGCTACTCATTGCCTTCTCGCACCACCGGTGTTGTTTACAAAATTTGAGAGGACGAAAAGCGAATGTCCGGCACTTTAACCGGATTACTGGACACGGAAAGTCCACTTAGGGGAGTTATAAAACCCTGATTCCAAACCAATGGTTCACATGGGCCCCAGTATCTTGAAGGAAAACATGGCGTATAAACCTGTCGTTGGTCACCGACTACCATCGGACTGCATCTCCTTACGTTGCTCCACTGTCTTGTGGATTAGACCTGTAGGTCAAAGACTCCGAGTATAACCCCCTAAGATAACCACCTGCTTCGGTTTGGGAACCCGAGCAGGATCCCATCCGTCACATGAATCTAATGATTTATGTGGTGTATATCTATTTGGTGACTCCTTATACGAATGTTTGTGTTTAAATAAATAATTATGTAGTTTGCTCAAAACTTGGATGTCCATTTGTAAAACCTGATGAGCATCAATTGAAAAGAATATTCTTCATACATATATCAGTATTTTAATAGAATAAGTATTTTTAAAATGGTTAAAATATTGTAGAAAACTTAATACTTAATCATAAAATTAAAACAAAACTCTTTCTAACCTGTTAGTAGCATCATTATAACAGTAATTTTTAACAAGATCATATGTTAATTCCCAAAATACATGAACAGTAATTTTTCCTAATCTAGAAGTTACTAAATTATCCGCTTCACGTAATAATGCATCAAAATCATCTAATTCCAATTGTTCACTCAACATTCTATGACAAAGTCGATTACATTCAATAGCTGCTTCCAATTCCTATGAATATAAAGGTATAGTCATACAAAAACATTTATTTAAAATTATTAAATATACAACTATAATAATTGACATAATTGTGATTCATATAATGTAGATGAATATAAACTATTTGCTCACTATTATATGCAATAATGTAATTTAGTGATTGGTTACGTTTTCAATTATACTAGTTTAAATCACAACCTAGGTATTCATGGTTATTAGATTCTATTCGGCTGACTGATTAAAAATAGGTTACTACTGTATACCATTTTTCATGCAGCTGGCAGGATTACAAACGTCAGTCAATCATAAGGAACGTAGAACCTAGTATATATGTGCATCGATTTAAGTTGTTACACCACAATGAGATAAAATGATCAGAATCAATACCAAAGTAGCAGAAGAATCGGTGATACTAGGAAGCATTAACCGCAGACAATATGATTCGAGAAGAATGAATTCGCAGAATAAAGGTTACAAAACAGTTCTAAAACTGCAAATCTAAAGGAACAAAAAGAGTACATGGGTATGAGCTATTGTGATTGATTCTGAGTTAAGTTAATCAACACCTCTAACTAATGACTATAATGAAGTGTACCGAACGTCTACCAACATAACTCAAACCAATTATCAATGAATTAGTGAATCCTTTCTTTCCTCCAGCCTACTCCTTCATTAGCCGACAGATACTTTGTGCAATGTGTAAAGAAGTTTCAATCTAGTTGGCGTTTTTTAGCAAGATTTTTTCTACGGGATGGGATTGCCGACCTCATGCCCAACCCTACTTCTTTACCTGGGCTTGAGACCTGCAGGAAGTCAAGAAGAACTACAGGTAAGCCCTAACTCGGAATCCTGAAGGGAAACGAAAAAGAGGAAGGCCAAAGAACACATTACGTCGGGAAATAGAAGCAGATATGAAAAGGGTGAATAAAAACTGGAAAGGGCTGGAAAGGATGGCCCAGGACAGGGTTGGATGGAGAATGATGGTGAGTGGCCTATGCTCCTTCATGAGGAGTAACAGGCGTAAGTAACCATCGAAATATATCAATTGATCACAAACTAATTAATAATGAACAAGACTTTAAGAAGAAATAAAATAAAATAAATGAATCCATCATCCTATAAATGATCCATCTATTGAAACGTATAAACAATCGACTGTATAATTAATCAAGTATTCTATGGTTAATTGATTGGAAAGAATGGATACACATACACATACACTATATGTATATATTAAGTATATTTTCAGAATTTCATCACATTTATCATCCTGTTCAGTGTATATATGTGAATGATAGATAAATTTTGTAAAAATTTTAAACTAAACTACATGTATAATGGAATCAAAAATCAGTCAGTCAGTAACAAAGTAGAACTTCGTACGTACGTACATCAGTTCGAGTTGCCACACCACATTAGCATAGAGATGCAGTTGTCAACTCAAATTCCGTAGTGGTAGAGGTAGTAAGAGTATAAGCAGTAGTCAGGAAGATTAGGGTTTGAAGATGTTATTTAAAGAGTATAATTCAGTGAAATAAATTTGGAAAGAAAATGGTGGACATGAAGAATTCAGAAGATTAGAATTTGGGAGAACACAAAGAGTGAATGCACTTGCGCCGTTGCAAACGATTTTGATCTATTTCATTCAAGGTCTCTAACCATCGGTTGCTATCATCACGCGGTCCCCAACCAGGTAGTTTATACCTACCAACATGACTCAGTTCACTTGTCAGTGACTTCATGGACTTGTGCCATGTTTTGGTTTGGCCGCCCCTAGCTTTCTCCCAACCTACTCCTATACCACTGAACATAGCACGTCGAGGCAGTCGGTGGTTGGGCATACGTAACACGTGTCCCAGTCATTTCAACTGATGAAGTTTCACTATCATCCTTACCTAGTACCAGTTTCCTAACAACTGCGTCACTTACTCGATGGTCCCAGGATATACGAGCAATGTTTCGAAGACATCTATGATCGAATACTAGTAACCTACAAATATCCTCTTCTCTTACCGGCCATGTTTCACTGCCATAAAGTAGGACGGAACGAACTGCTGCACAGTAAACACGTCCTTTCGTTGGTAGACGGATATCTCGCCTACGCGATGAATGGCGCAAGTTGGTAAAAGCTAGTCAAGCCTTCTGTATCCGTGCTGAGATTTCGTCACACACCAGACCACAAGGGCTGATGAGACTTCCAAGATAAGTGAAGCGATCGATACGCCCAACTACTTCACTCCCTATCATTAGTTCGGGTGTCGATGCAACCCAATTCTGAAGCAACATTTTGCATTTCGAGGGGAGAATCGCATCCCGAACATGCTTGCATTGTTGCTTAGAGTGATCAGAAGACTGCATTTTGTCAGCGTCTTCACCAAATAGAACTATGTCATTGGCATATTCTAGGTCAAGAAGTGAGTCTCCCGGCAGAAGTTCAACCCCCGAAAATTTAGATGAGGAAAGTGTTATCTCTGAAAGCACTTCAACGACAAAGTTGAACAAGAATGGAGAGAGTAGACAGCCCTGACGAATACCACTTGAGGTAATCAATTCTGATGACAGTTCACCATAAGCTCTCACTCGACCAGTTGTGTTCGAGTAGAGAGCCTTTATAAGGTTAATGTACTTCTTTGGTACTCCTTTCAATGACAAACACTGCCATAGAGCCTCACGATCAACAGAGTCGAATGCTGCATTAAGGTCGAGAAATACTACCATTGTGAGGCGTCTGAACTTGTGTCTGTGTTCTAGAACCTGACGAAATGTGAACATCTGGTCTATACAACCACGTCCAGGTCGAAAACCAGCCTGGTTTTCTCTAGCCTGCTCTTCACGAGCTTTAGTTAGGCGTCGAAGTATTATTGAAGTTAATATTTTAGACACTATATTAGCCAAACTGCTTCCTCTGTGATTGTCACAAGAGGACTTTTGTCCTTTCTTATAGACTGGCACAATCAGTGATTGAGACCAGTCAGATGGGATTCCAAAATAGAACAACTAGCCCAAAAGTAGAATAAATAAGAGCCTGATGTAATTATTGGTGCAACTAAATCTTTATATGATGATCACTACATACATCTAGTACAATTATGAATCATTAGTTTCTTTCTTTAACTTTCAACCATCAATCGGATAGATGTTTTAATTTCAGTGCGTAGAAAGCTAACATCCATAACTATTCCAAAATGTTCATTTTAAAGTATATCACAAGCGTCCAAATCTATTCAATAAATAACAACGGCATGGTTAGTCTCATTTCAGATACATGTTCTAGTTTATGAGGTTGTAAAATTTATTTTCACTGAATAATATATTTTGGATGGATGTGTGTAATGAGATGAATTAGATTGTTTTATTGATTTACAAAAACAAAACTATGAAAATATTAAGTCAGTCAGTTAGTCAGCTACAACGTAGAACCAGGCACATATATGCATCGGTCCAAGTTGCCATACCTCATTAACACAACAAGATGAACACCGGATTCATAGGAGTAGTTAAATCAAGGGTGCTAATATAGAAAAGAAAGATTGCATATAAGGACATAGTACGGGAAGAAAGAATTAGTTCGTAGAAAGAAAGATATGAAGCGATATATTAATTCTCTACTTACTGTAAATAAATCATATTTAAGATCCATTATTCTTCTTAAATGGTAAGAAAGAGCGATTGCTTAATGATTTAGGCGTTCGACCTTCAAATGCTAAGGTCCCAGGTTCAAACTTTGCTCCACCGGCTTTGGTCTGGGCAACCGAGGTAGCATCACTAGCTCACACGTATAAAATGTGACTCAAAGTCAGGTGCATAAATTCAAACCTCATAAATAATTTATCAGTGATAAGACGTACAGTTCATGACCAGTTGGGTGTTCAAATAAACTTGCTAGTCTGTATACGACTTTTATATTTGATGAGTTTGGTCGACAGTCGATTGTCAATGGTAGGGAGTAAGAATTCTTCAAGTTAGATGCTTTTACTCTAAACGATATTAGTTCATGATCAAGTGTAATAGTACTGTACTACAAAAAGCAATAATAATGATAATAATAAACGTCAAACTTACAATTATTCCTGTTATATCTGAACTATGAAAACGTGAAATAGCAACTTCAATTGATTTGTATATTGCTTTAGTCATCCTCTGACAAATTAATCGATTTATATCGACAGAACGACCAAGCAATTGAATATTTCTTTGTCGAAGTAAAGCTGCAGTATAACGATTAGGCGGTGGATAAGGTTCACGCCATGAAGCAGTACGTTGGGCTTCAGCTCGAAATCGTTTGTCTAATAAAATTGATGATGCATAGCGTTTATAGTGTCGAAATATTTTATCACTTAGTTTATAAACAAGTTGATCAAAGACTAAATTCGCTTCAGCCTCGATTTCTTCATAAAGAAATCGTCTTCGAAATCGATTTAATGCACAATCAGCAGCATCATTGTAAAGATCAAGCATATAGAGTAGATATTCCGTATAACCAGGATGTTCACTTTCTAGAATATGATCGGTGAATATCCATGGTAAACTCATTTCAATTGGAAATTGTATACAAGCACCATTAGTCATTTCTAAGAAGAATTCACGATACCATAGTTGAGATAGGTCACAACACTTGATTAAAGTTTCTAGTGAGAAAAAAATAGATGGAAAAGGATAATGGATGGAAGAAGGTAAACAAAGATGAAAACAAGAGATAATCTACAACCGTACTTATCTCAGTGAAGTAATATACATTTGTTGTATACAACTTCTAATATAAAAGGCTTGTTCTTGAAGCGTAACTAACATGGTAAATCAAACAAAGTATGATTATCAAAACAACCCTATCTCAGAACACAGACGAGATTTTTGAACACCTAGAGCAGGCTGTTTGATCAAAATAAGTTACAGAGTTTTATTGTACCAACAGGAAATAATTTATCATACATCATTGACGCGTTATAGGGAATTCATCGTCTTGAAATCGATATCTACACCCAGTAACACTACTCATACTCTTTAGTTTTGATAAGGTCACCTGTTTTGTACTTGTCGACCTAACCGGATCATTTTAACATAAATCAATATTTTACATATGATTTCCCCCTTCTTCCTCCTCACTCTCAACTGTCGTTCTTATTGTGTAACATTTTTTTAAAAGATGTATCATTACAAAATCGATCCACAATGATTAATGTTTTATACTGAATCCTATTTACCAGCGAATAGGAAAACAAGATTGTCTAACATGAGATTTCACCGCTTGTCAATTTTAAATTCACTTTTACTGTATACACACTAGTTTGTTATCTACATTTAACTAATGAAATGTTAAATCCATATTTTCGTTTCTTTATATGTAGTTCAGAGAAAAAAATTCTAGTATTGAAACGTGATACAGAACCGAACTCAAATAGAGGATTGATTTCAACAAAATAGTGCATTTTTATGGTAACTCAGTCATATTTTCCACCACATTATCTTTATGTGGAAGTTTTCTTTGAGCTAAATCATAAGTAACAAGTGCAGTGGAATTGTATGTTATACGATAACTCATTTACTAATTGTACATGTTCATGTACTTCGCTTTGAGCTACACTTTCTGTGTGCATTGGTGATACTGATCATCTGCCTACAATGACGTAAGTAGAACAGCTGGAAACCAATTAATTAAAGTACTGAATTGATTTAATAAACAATAGGATTAGGTGTAATAAACTACTCATAAGAAGTAAGAGGTATTTTTCAAATAGACCATACGTCAAAGTAGATAAATAGAGAATTGATATAATAAGTTTTGTAAACTACTTGACCAATGTATTCTAACCAATATCGTGTACTAGTCTTCACTTCAGTGAATAATTAATTCAGTGAGATGAATCAACAATTTGAAAATACTTCTTTTGAATGTTAAAATTAAAAGTAATCATTGGAAAACCACGATCTAAACTTAAACTAGTTGGGAATATATTAGCAAGAGTGATCAATGTAAAACTAAGTATGAAAAGACCACCACACTGTTGATGAACATCTAATACGTTAGTCACTTGATCAGTGATAAAAAAAAGTGGGATCTGTCAGATATGAGCGTCTGTCTAATTTGCTAAACCATATCAGCACAACGAAATAAGATTATCAAGGCAAATGCCAGAATAGTGGTAGCAAGGAAGATTAGGCGTTAATAATGTGCTTGGGTGAGAAACAATTAATTTGTGAAATGAAAAGTATGAGATAATTATTAAACTCAACATTTAAAGAAAGGCAGAAAGTGAATGTCTCCGTGTTATTTTTATCGGTTCTGTGACATATCACACATTTACAACTAATGATTATGATAATCACGAATAATCTGTACCTATCAGCACGACCCACCCTAACGGCCAATGAGTTCACGAACTGATTCAAAGTTTTTGATTAGCCGCCCCTAGTTTTTTTTACAACCTATTCCTATTATTAAGCGAACATCGCATGTCGAGGTAGGCAGTGGTTGGACATACGTAACACACATTCCTAAAGTTAGGAAGTCAGCTTACATTTATTTACTTATCTAGTAGAAAGTCACCTACACTTAAAATTAGTGATTAATTATACATAAACAGATTTGCATGAACAATTACAAATTACACTTGTATAAATAAAATTAAAGATGGATAAAATTGATAAACACTTTCAAATTACCACTGAAATTCAGAAGATATGGCCAATAAAAACTATGCTTAAGAAATGTATCTATCGCTGATAATGTTGCAGTGTCCAATTCTTTTCGTATCATTTGTTTGGTTGATGAAACTTGTTCAACCATTAATTCTAACATAGTTCGTACTAAATACAATTGACTAGATGATGGACCAACTCGACGTTTATTTGAATCAAATATACTACTTGTACTAATCGATCCTGTTGGACTGTCATTATTATTGGCTAATGAAGCAGCGACAGTAGCCATCGTAGAATTTGACCCTGTAGTCATACTATTATTATGATTATTATTATTGCTTGAATTCGATAGTTTTGAAGAAGCAGCTTTACCCCATGATTTGGATCCTGTTGTGCCACCACCACTACTGCTACTAGTGTGCATCATCATATCCAAATCCATTGTGTCGGATATCTGAGAGGAAAAAAGTAAGGGATCGGGATTGAGTAGTTCTGACTTAATCTTGTGATGAGAATAAAAGTTGTTGAGAGAATCTGTATCCCAGAAAACGACTAATACAAAACTAAAGAATGTTTATTGATGAAATGCTATCATGTTTTTTGGTAGAATAAAAATATATTTCGGTGGGAAAGTTTGATGTGTTTGGTACTAGTAATGATGACACTAAAATTTGCATAATAATTATCGGTGTTAATGACTGTGAGCCAACTAACGAGATAAACATGGGTTGAACGATACAGCTCCACTGATGAACATAACCTGTTTACACATTACAAGGGCTTAAAATATACAGTATGGGAGTATTTGGTGGTGCTACATTCTCAAGTCATAGCTGTTCGGTAAATGTGGGTTTAAATAGACTTTCACTTGTTTCTAGTTAGCAAAGACTTTAAATACTGTAAAAGACATCGACTTAATGTGCCTCACAAATGTTTAACCTTTCTATTGTTAGATTTATTCTTTAGAACATATACTAAATGGAAGTCATATTTTCAAGGACTGATTTATTAAAAAATAATGATAAAAAGTAGAGTTTAATGACAAAGTTACGGATGACAATGTACTTGTTGGAGGTATTATATTCTCTAAATTGGATGATTTAATTGTGAAGCTCCCATTGTTTTTTTGGAAAATGCCATCAGCACGGAGTCCTCGTTAAATGACAGGCTACTGGAAAGCTAAGGAATCTTGGAAAAGCAGTAGCTAGCAAATTACTGATAGAAACTCCAGGCTTCTACTTGATCTAACCTTAGCAAGTCTGATTTGGTGATTCCGCCATATATAAACAATGGTTCGAGAACATAAGATCAAATACTTGAAATCTACACGTGTCTTTTACCTCTAAATATCATGTTTCATATAGACCAAGGTGATGGGTAGTATACTCCCAACTTAATAGACAGATGAACATCTCTCCTGAGCAACAGATTGTACAAGTTGACAAAAGTTGGCAGCTTTTTGAAAACGTAACAAGATTTTGCTAGTCACTAATCCACTAGGGTTGATGAGACTTTCAAAATAAGCGAACCGATCAAGGTCTTCAGCTATTTCCCTTTCTATAGTCATACTATGAATTATTGTAGATCACTCATGAAGCAACATCTCACACATAAGGAAGGGGTAGATCTATCCCAAAAAATATTGCACTCAAGACATGCAAAGGATTGTTTTTCTTAAGAATCTCAATACATAGGATTATGTTATCTATAAGCTTGGATTTAGTTAGCCTCAAAGTAAGAAATCAATCAAAACGAGACGATGAACTTTACCTCTAATAAGATACCTATGAGAAGATTCAAATAAAATTCCATAGGCAATACTTTATCTCTTCAAAGTTTACAATATGAGTTTGAAACACACTACCCATGGTCTTTGTTCGGTCAAATTCAAGTCAACCAATACTACTTATGTTGAGCATAAAAGCCATAAAACATTACTCAAACAATTGATATTTTAAACTTTAGTCACCCCTGATATATATCACGGCTTAATTTTAAATGCCACTGAAAATCACTTTTCCGTGTTGACTACAATTAGTTGAAAGAAAAAAATCGGAATAGCTTTTCACTATCAACGTAATAATACTTCCTAAATATAATTCTAAACACCCTTAAAAATTGGTTTACATTTTATTATTTTAGTATCATTCTTCACCGATAAAACTGTTACGATATTATACTATGCATACTTGATCAGCACATGTCGCTTGAATCGCAAGTATTAAACGTGCCAGCATGATTCGTTCTTTTTTCTTTTGTGCTTTAAGCAATGGAGCGCTTAATTGGCCGACAACAATTGACTGTAGTTCTCGATAAACAGAACGACCAATCGCTTCTGAATAACAAGCTTCCAATCGTAAAAGTTGTGTTTGAACAGATTTAATCATACTGATTATTTCAATCATAGCAAATCTTTCTTCTGAATTGTAATTATAACGAGTGGCCTGAAGGAAACGAGAAAACAAATGAATATATTCTGGATGATGGAAATGAGTTCAGAAAGGTGATATTTGGTATATTTGGACGGATTTTTTAAACAACTTAAAGATTAACATGTATGTTAGTTGAGTGATCACAGTCAAATAAATCTTCAAAGATTGGACTTCTAACCGCCTAACTCATGCCCTTATGGAACCAGGTTGGCATTTTTTCCCTCATACTTGCTAGACTGAATGCTGTCTACGGACTATATGTCTTGCTCCACAGCAGTAGACGGACTGTTAAATGCACATCTCTCATAACTGTGAAAAGTTCATTAAAATGTTATCTTTTAGCAATTAGACGAAATGAGTTACAATTTACCTAACTACTACCTAACAGATAGAAGTATCTACAACCGCTGAGAAGGACAGGGTCACGATTAAGCTACAACTTGAACATATTAGAGCCATATAATTGGTAAGATGTTTGCCTAGGAGTACTAACAAACACTTACTGGCTGTTTGCATCAAAACATTAAATAGCTCAGTTTAATGATCATACCGTGTTATTAACAAAATTAGATTACTATCAAGAAACAAAGAGATATCACGGTTAAAATCTTGTGACTGAAAAATGTAAACTAGCAGATTATATACCAAATACAGGGCCCGTGGTTCAGACACTAGTAGCTTTCCGAACAAGGCGCTTTGGTAGTTGGTGTGTCTCAGGTATAAGTCCCAATTCGGAAGGCAAAAGTAACTGGGAGATAATCCCGTTCTCACTTTTAATGAGGTAAGATGAGTGTCCTGGACCCCGATCCCAGTCGCTGGAAAACAGTATCAAAGTAAATCATAATTCAATGTGACACCTATGAACAACGCTTAACGCCTATTCTTTGTATTTTACAACTCAAATGTCATTTTATGAAGTGACCGGTGAGAAAGAGTAACATTTTTGACAGAAAAGGTACAAACAGAGAGAAATATACGGCGAACCAAATCATACGTGATGAAAATTCATGACTATAGGTGAATAACACTGAAAATAGTGTAAAACTTTAGTGGCAAATCTTAGGAGTACTGAATGAATTTGCTTTACTCAGTACCTTTTTGTCACTTTGCAAACAATGTGTTAATTTGGCAGGAATTATTAGCGCACCAGACTTAATAGTTTTTTTTCAATTCAGTTAGTCATTAAAAAAGCTCATAATTCAAAAGAACCTCATATTCACGAGAATATAATCGAAGCATACTTTTTCATAATTCTCAGCATCTTTTGGGCACTCATGGTTTGTGAAACCGCTGGCACAGTGAGCAAGCTTCCATGAAAATGTGTCTAACACTTGTACAGACCAACCAGATAAATATTGAAGACCTCGAAGTGCAAGATCATAAAGTTCTTGGTTTTCTTTGGCAGAACGTTCATTTAAACGAATCGACGTTGTATTTGTATGCCAAGCTAAATCGGATGTCAATGAAGTATATTCCTCTCTGAAATCAGAATTTTCATTATCAAAAAGCATTTAAGACAAATAGATAGATATATATAAAGGGATCATGATGTGAGATGTTTTATGTGACTTTTAACGTTAATGAAGTTTTTACGGGTACCGTACTGTGCAATAAAGTGGAAATAGTATTGATATTATGAGCTAGTTTGTGGTGTACAATAAATTTGAGTGTTTAGAAGCATAGTGAATGACAAAGATAAAATTGCAATTTAAAAATATACTCACTGATCGTCCCGTACACTAGCATATCACTACTAAAATGGCAACTGGTTTATCACGTACAAATTTATGGATTCGGTTTTGCACCAACTTTTTATGTAGGACGGATAATGAACTTACCCAGCTGTCCAAACTGAAATGGAGCTAGTTTCGGACCAAAGACCTTATACTTGGAAGCCAAGTCTTTTAACCACTAAATTACGACTAATCACGTATCCATTAAATGGTTATGGTATATTTTCTCCTTAAATGATAAGGGAATGACAGTGGCCAACACAATATCTGGTACGAATTAGGTTGAAAGCTAACTTAAACTAGTGATACAAACCAGCAACATGAATGTAACTCATCCCATGACTAGTAAAACTCTTAAGGACCACCCATACATATTTATCTTTGAATATTTAATAAATTCACTTTAATATTTCATACTCAAAATTCATCATTGTACTAAACATAGTGTCGAATATAGCTATCATTACTAATTTCAAAGTGACACTATAACTGATTTCGACAAAACGTGATCAAGTTATTAATATGATAACACTCATATACTTTACCTGATTATTTTGATAGGAGCACAGACATGGATAAGAAAAGGGTATCGTCACATCCGCTAACCATTTGCTACTTCAGGGTTTTGTCAGATTTTCAGTATGATCATACGTGAACAATCGGGATACTACCCGTGTTTCATACTTCCAGCGGTTTCTTCTATTTTATTAAAATCAATCAAAAACGCTGAGAAACCTGAAGGCACCTATTTGTAAGGTTATCATCTCCACTCTATCTAATTATATTAACTATTCAAAACTTATTGAAATGTCTTGAAACTCCTTAGCACGAATGGAGATATAGCTCATTGATCTAAATACATCCATTTCTACCAGATCAACGGTTTAAATAATTCCTCAACGATCAAAATTTTAACATCCTAGTGGTGTTACAGGTCCTTGCGGAAGAGATCTAAAAGGATAGTGAAACTGTACAGTTGATGAGAGGTCTATGTATTCCAGTAGCTTTGTAGGCCCTCGTTCAGGCTTTCTAGCTGGGCTTAGTCTTAATACAACGAAAGCCAGAATGACTTACGTTAAACACAACTACCACCACAAATTTAACTTATACATGAAACGTTGGATGCTGAATATTGTGCCGAGTAGTGGTACTCACATAGTAACAATACACAGCAAATCCCGAGTTCTAGCTAAGTGTGTTTGAGGATGGTGAAAATAATTGCATTATCCAATCCTTGGACACAGAATCTAGTAGCTTGCATGTTCCCTTTCGTAAATTGTTCGAATGGTTACAAAATGCATGTTGTTTGCCAACCTTACAACCAAAGAAAATGGAGGCGATCGATGGGTCTGAAGAAATAGTAGGGAGGAGGTCGAAATTGAGAAAACCTAGTTCCCTTTTAAAGTACTCGGTGCTTGATGGAAAGTGGGTGGTTTATGTGGGGAAAATGTATGCCTGGTTAGGCTGTGATGGGACGAACAGACGATTTGAGTTAAACCAAGCAAAAGCAGAAATATCACGTAATACCTACTGAAATCTCGCCATGTGCGTTAAGATCACTCCCTGACCAGAAACTTTAGCACTATTGCACTCTGGCCACTTAGATGGATCAAATGACGCTGTTTGACGAACATATGAAAATGGTTCCACACTCATATCACCGAACAGATTGACAACTTCACATTCCTAAGAAATTAAATTAAGGAACGAATCTGGCTTACCTTTAAAATCCGATCTAATTTACCAATGTTAAGACGTTTTGCGATTTTATTCAGGCAAACGCCTACCTGCTTACCATCAACTATACGACCGGAATCGAGAAGATAAAGGGAAAAAGCTATAACCTAAAGACGTGAACGAGAACTAAACCCGGATTTACTATAACATGAGTGTGTTTCTCTTCAGGAAGGATATAAACCTTGTTTTCATACATTTGAGCGCTGTTATGAATGATTTCTATCAGAAGGTCCTCATAGCCATCAATTGCAATCAAGCTTTCTTTTAGTGTATCACGAATGATTTTTTGCTTCGCCAAGAATATACTAACGTCGTGAGAATCGGGATCGTTAACTTGTAGAAACTGGGCGGCTCTGATTATCGATAAGAAATTAACATGAACACACCTTTTGTAGTTAGAATAATCATTTTTCATGCTTGCCTTCATGTTCTTCATTTCATCTAGAAGAGCAAACATTTTTATCATTTTCCCAAGTGTGACGAGATAGGCCTGGTTGACGAAGAAGTTTTTCTGATCCTTATGGGCCAGTCGTTTTACTTCTTCCACAAACCTCCGTATAGCTGCATCCTAGTAAATTTGATGAAGTGCTCTTCGGCAACCTACTTGAAAGAACATGAACTGTTTCAATTTTAGACAATGTGGTTCTAATATCTCCTTCGTTTTTTCATATATCTTTATTCTATTTGGCTGGTCACTTGATCGGATCTACTGAGAATAATATCTGAGCTATGAACTTACAAATGGAAGAGCTCTAGATATCGACCTCCACGTGTACAGCATAATCGCGTACTCTTGTCCTTGTTCAAGCAGAGTATTGAGGTGTGAGTAAACCCTTGCATCTTCAGCAGAACGCGCAAAAGCGGATTTAAATGCGGTTATATCACTAAAATTCGTATCAGTGTTGGACTGACAAGAAATGAGTCTAATGAACCAAATAATTACCTGCAACAATATGGGGAAATTAGCTCCCTGAATTGATGGAACATCTTCATCAAGGTTTAGTTGGGACAAGGCACTGACTTCTCTCATTGTGGTAGGTATAGGTCCTCGAAGATGTTGGAGGACTTCCATTGTAACGCTATAACTATAAATCCGCAACCAACCGACCTTCAAAAGCCTCGAACCTCAAACTTTGGAAGATGGGATTATCGAATTGAATTCGCATATTGCTGTTAGGAAAGTGTTTCCAATTATGAAATAGTATAGGTCTTTTTTCTGAATCTGAAGAAAGTAACAACAAACTGGTTAGATAAACATGAGGTTCTCTGAAGAGTGTTGCTCCATAAGGTACAATCCTTGACCCTAGTTCTATTTAATTTCTGGAAGTTATTTATCGGCCATTTATTGCTAACTAATCCTTCTCATTTTTTATGAGATTCAGCAACTCATATGTATGGTAGGATAACATACAGTCCTCAGTAATAAATATAGTACGTTGTTCGACCTATGTTAATCCTTGAAGTTTGTTTTCAAGTGGTTACCACGCTTCTCCCTGAAATAATCTACTGACTAGGCCGGTATGGTGTTCCACTTGCTGACTACTCAATGAGAAAAAACGGAATTGCAGAGTTCGTCTAATCTCGGTTCTTGAGCCTGTAGTGACCTATTTTATCAAGAAAATGCGATTGGTTTAGTGGAAACAACTAATATTATAACCAATTGTACTAGTGATTGTTTTACTGTACTTGTTTGTTTAACTACTAAAAGCAAACATTCTTCCGTTGATTGTGACCTTGCACGAACTTACGTTTGCTCAGTAGTTCCGCTTGTACTCTTTGGCATGATCTCGGTATTATTGCGATATCACGAGATCGTCAACAAATATATCTTGTTACGACCTTCAACCGCCTTCTGATTTCTGATTTACTCGGAGGTTTAGCCTGTTCTGGTACGTAATCTTCTTGTAGTGGTGATTATAGTCAACCGCGACTCGACGCCACACTACAAGCCTTCCTGCGGTCATCTCGGTGATGACTAGTTCTGGAGGAATCCAAAGGTTGAAACATTTTCACGCTCAAATTTTATGGTCCTGCTTGACTCGGTGACTTTCCCGAATTGTTTTTCAAAATACCTTAACTGCTGTGGTAGTTGGACTGACGGTTGTTTGACACAATCTGTCATTTTCCGTTTTTAAGTAAAGGCCTAATGAAAATATCTTTCCGATCCATAGAGAGATGAGCTTGGAAGAGAAAGATGTTGATCATCATAGCGAATGGTTTTGGAATACAGTCTGCGAGGGATGACAGCAATAGTAGATGTAACTCATCGGGGCTCGGTGACTTGTCAGGTTTAATGTTAATAGGCAGTTGAAAAACAGCTTTGTTGGTCACGAGCACTGGCACCACAGTAGTGTGGTGGAGGAAAGTGTAGTACACCTGTCTATGCCACTAAAATAAAAGATTTACCCACTTATGATTTTGGTTGTACTAAAAATATTCTGCGTTATGTTCATTTAATTCAGTCGTTTATTTACTCTTATAAGTGGCTTACATTTAGTCACGAAACATCAGAAATAAGATTTCGCTACTCATTGGTATGTAACCAAAAATATACTTCTTATTAACTTCCTACTCATTGTTCAGTTCATTTAAAATTATCATGTCCAACCTTAAAATTGATGCCTACAATTATATATTTAATCTGACATTTAGGACTTTTCATGTTGTAGCGGTAAATAAAACCCCAAAATCAATATCTTTATAAGTCTTCGACATTAGATGCTGACCACATTAGTTTTAATGAACTCGCCTAGGGCTCGCTCATGCATCCGCACCAGATCACCAGTGGGAACTCCATGCTCAACATCTCCCGCAGTCGCTAGCCAGATTAGATCAGACGATCCTCGATATATTGGTAGCCTATGAAATATATCTTCGAACACCCTCGCTTCTGTCTTTTGATTTCACATGTTGTGTACGATTCATATTACGTGTGACTGGTTAAAGCGTTGTCAAACTCCAAATACCTGTGGCATCTTCAATGTTGTGGCTACCTAATTTGTATTGTCTTACGCTGAAGCCACATCACTCTCTATCCTGACTCACCATACATTGAAGACAACCTTAGAATAACTAACTTGAGCTGGTGGCAGAATAATGTAACCAAAATAAATTTAAGAGTTAATCCCCAGTTCTGCATAGATGAACCATGCATGTAGTAGCTACCATACAGCAAGAAGACACCGTGTGTATCAGGAAAGCATGCGAAATAGCATATGTAACAGAAAGAATATGCTAAAAATTTCCCAAAAGTGTTTCATTTAACAGTATTTTTATTTCTTCATTCTTTTCCCCTGCCTTGCATTTCAACTTTTACTCAGGTCTTTTGTATTCACGTTTTATTTTCTTCACTCTTTTTTGTCTGGACTTTTATTGTCTGATTTTGGTTGCGGATATGCCTTATGGTGACACGTATATCCATTAAATTTCGTGACGACAAAACAGAGATCACACTTTTTCTTTATTTTTGGAACTTTGTATGTTACTGGGTTACTACTCAATGTCTATTGTTCCTCTGTATCAATTGTAAAGATGGATACAACAGTTTCGTTGCACTAATACACACTACCGCTGACTAGAAATAAATTCTTTCTTTATCGTCTGTTATACTTTACCGACGTGTGATTGAAGATTATAATGGTGTTATAATATCCTGTTAGGTCATTCTACATTACATTCGAGCTTTTGCCCGGATTTCTACTGAGTAATACTAACAGACCTATATTTCCCAACAAGCGTTGGCGCCACACGTACAGAGGGACCTTTGTTAGTCAAGTGAATCCATTTTTGGTTGTTATTTCAGAGGGCACTCACAAGTAACATTCATTCCATAACAATTATTATTCTGCTACCTAATAAACAATTTTGTTGTGTCGTTTGTTACCGTTTTGCTTTACGCATGAACAGACACTTCAGCTTGTAGTGTTAATCCTTTTTTGATGTATCATTAGTAACTGTTCGTTTTGTTACATATTTAGTACGTTTTTTCACTGGGATCTATCACAACTTTCATTAATAATTCTGTTGTTGCATGTTATTTAGCCATTGAAAATAATTTGATCTCTGACTGGAATCAAGGTTATGGCATGGTCCAGTCGATGACTGTGGACCTTTGAATTTCTTATGGCAGCTGTTGTTGAAATACCTGTGGGTGGATTTCTGATTCCACCTTGTTGTGAATATCCTTATTGATTATCAGACGTAATAAACGAGAACATAAGTGGGGACATTTGGATGTATTTGAATACAAAATTACAGAACGTCTTAGTAAAATCTGAAAATCATGCAGTAAATACTTAATTTACAAAATGTCAATCAGTGGTCTCAGACTTCTTTTTTTCAATCCCACATCATTCGTTCCCCGTTCTCGTTCTTATTTATTTGATATTCTTAACCTTTTGCCACCAGGCAATTCACTTTAGATTGTTGATACATACCATGACCGCGCTTTTCGAACGGGAAGTTTAGTCCTAACGTGATTTGCATTTATCAAACTTTTGCTGTGTTCTTACGCAACAAAAGTACCATTTCTGTCCCAAAGAATCTCGCCTGAGCTAAACGTTCGATAGATTATTTTTTTGAGTTTCATCCAATTTAATAGTTAACTGTGGTTTTGCCTCAGCTTACTATTCGTTTTTTCCACTTTTTCACGTAAAGACTAGTTCAGTTTATCTCATCCGTTTTATCCATTTTTGTCCGTTTTCAGTGTTTTTTAGTGTATATTTTACGGTCTTAGGCTTTTGCTAGCATCTACAACACAGTTTACGTCAATACAGTCATGAAAAATTCATGCAAACGACCTGGATGCCGTTTCGAGGTTACATCTGGCATGCAGTGCGACAGCTGTAAAGGTATGTTCCACGAAGCGTGCACATATCTCACAGCAACTGCTTACAACAGACTCAGCAAGTCGGGTCATAAGTGGTGATGTGTTACGTGCAGCACGGATGCGGCAGTCTTGCTGAGTAATATCATTGTCTTACTGACAGGTCTGCAGAGTGGGTTGTCTGTAAACTCGGGAAAAGACAGTCAAAAAATGGGTAGACCAACAAGAAAGCGCATTGAAAACGAACACAGGAATGTCGATAGATCTACCAACGACGGAGCATGCAACAGCATTAATGATGACACGCTGAAACTCAGCATCATGATTACGACGACGGTACTCGACTCCATCAGCAAACTTGGGTCTCACAGCTCAAGGTCCTTGAACGCGACAGTGGCTCCCAAAAACTCTGTAGGTGATTGGACCCACGTCAAAAGAGCTAAAGAGGGCCAGCCGTCACAGTCTAAGTTGAACATCCCAGCTGTTGAACGGAAGTCAACTGGTGATTTGGTCGCACAGTCTACCCCCAAGATTGTCCGTCCGGTCATCAAAGAGCCAAGGATTCATAAACGTGCTTCGACCTCCAAACAACAAGGTGCTAAACCTGAACGCACCGGAAAACCTGGGACGACAATAACGGTTCGTGACGACTCTCTCATAGTCATGAACTTCAAAGACAACCCTGATCTTTCTCTCAGTTTGCAGGACAAAAATGATAGGATGCTCTGGGGGAGAATTGAACAAGAAACTTGAACTTCCAAGAATAGAGCCTTTGACAGCCACACGGCTCACTCGAGGAAAGGAATCTAAGCATCAAAATCACCCGAGGCTACTTCGTGTGACACTTAAAAATGCTACCGACGTAGAGGATGTCTTACTAGCGAGTCATTTACTGAAATCAGATGAGAATGTAAGAATACTGCCTGACATACCATATTCTGAGTGCAATCTCATCCGAAACATCCCCAAAGAAACTCGCGATCAGTTTTTCCGCGGGAGGAATATAATCGTGCAAGGTATACCGGAAAATACGGACCCTACTCAATCAAAAACTGACATCAGGGAGTGGAAATTCATCAAATAGTCCTTGAGGCTCAAAAACATACTGACTCAGCATGTGACGAGACTAGTCAAGAAGGACGGTGATCCTAGACCTCGCCTAATGAAGATAACCTTCCCATCTTCCCACATCGAGGCTGCAACTCTGGAAGCATTTCGTGCCAACAGACGTCGACTGCCACCTGGAATCCATATGCACCCGGATAGGCCTTATGAAGCTAGGACCTAACACAAAGGTA